AGCGTTTTAACCTTACTGTTGTTAGATGCGTTGGATTTAATAGCATTCTTAATGAGTTCGTCTGTTGTCAAATTAGGTGGGAATCTCGGCTTAAGAACAATATTGGAACTGATAATATTAGTTTCTATATTCAACATGGAATCGTTATTTGAACCAACAATAAACGGTTTATTACGTTTATTTTTTGTTTGCTTTAAATTTTTAGGCATAATTTTTGGTTTAATAAACAAAGCTAACTTTACTTTATGGTTTATTGTTAGATTTATTAGTTTTTTTTAAAAAAAAATCTCTCACTTTTATTTTAAAACAAGTGGTTTTTATATGAAAAAAATATATGGCAATAAATTTATATTATTGTCGATCATCATTATGGGTGGGAGAAAAATTGTAATGGTGGTAATGAAAAAAAAAAACCAATAAAGTCAGATTGTTGGAACAAAATCAAATAAAATGTCGTCGCATTGGCCTTATTCGGAATAGGACTAGATACTGGAGTTAGTAAGCAATTTATATATATATATTTTTTTTATTGAATTATTTATTTGGTATTAAAAATATAATTGTACATATTTTTTAAATCATTAAGCCTATCTCATCCACTCTTTGTAACACAAAGTTCTTAACTCAAAAATTCTCACTAGATGGGGAAACAATAATTGTCGATCATTTGAAACAAAATAATGTTTGCTTTGCTATCATAATCGATCGCTTTGCTATCATAATCGATCACTTTGTATCACAAAAAAAAAAAAATGGTTGCTCGTCACATTTATATGTTGCGATCATTTTGCTGAACACAAGAAATCTTACAAAAAAGTAAAATAATCAGACTTTTCTTTTAACAGTAATTGCCAATTTTCTGCCTTTGAATATTATTTTTTTTAACGGCAATTATTGCCAAGTAACGACATTTGTTATAAAAAATAAATAAATGACATTTATCAGATTACGTTGGGTTATACAATGCTGCGGAAGTAGGTTGTTAAAAAATTCAGGTTAAACTTTTTCATGAAGTCGAAATTCTTATTATGTGCAATTCCGCTAGAAATAAGAGAATTTTTTTTTTTTAATTTACAAATCTAAAGGTATAAAGACCTATGTATCTCTTATTTTCAAAAAAGCTATTCTAATTTTTTTACTGGTGTATTTTTCAATAAAAATCTTTATATTATTTGCGATTGTTAAAACCAAATACTAATTTTTCCTGGAGAAAATGTGTGTATATAATATAAGTGACATAGAACTCTCTTAATATCTTCTCCAATAGAACGTAAATTGTAAAAATTATGAGCCATTCACGAACGCGGCCTTTGTTTATGCGGTGGTTCAAAATTGATCTAGTTAAAATATACCAAGAAGTACATTGCGTTGAAGTAACATACAACTTTAGATAATGATAAGTAAACATTCGGAATGCAAAATACTCTAATGTTTACGATCATCCTGTGTCGCAGCGTTCTTAAATCCAATATGTAATAAAATCAACATTATTTGTAATGGGGTTTTCATAATTTCATTTAACATTTTATGATCAACGTAGATACGTCAACTCAATTAAGGTCATTTGCGATTTTGACTAATAAAAATAATAAAAATGATGTCATTTGAGGTCATTTCAAGGTCATTTTGCACAAAACTGGCGTCGCGTCTGTATTAAGATTTGATTTGCGTTCCATGTAATTTGACTTACGATTTAATACAAGCGAGAAACAAGAAAATTTATGTTAAGTTTGATAGATTAGAAAACAATTCCAATTGAGATCGTAATGTTGTTGGTGAAGTTTTTAATGGAGATTTATTCATTTATTCATTTGACAAAGGTAGGATTTTGTTTTAAATATTATTTACTGCTTATTTTATCCTATTTACAAAAGATCATTTTTTTATAAATAAAAGAGAGAAATTTTATTCTAATTTTTTAAATATGGGAGGTTTTGCTATTAAATCACGTTACGGATCATATGATTTACTATGTTCGTAACTCGCGAATTTTTATTTATTAATTTTTATTTTTTTTTTGATCAATAAGACATTTTAAATAGAAAGGTGGGAAGCTGAATTAGACAGGCAATTCTTTAAATCAAATAAATAAAAGTTTATGGTAATTTGGAAATTTAGCATTAAATTTTAAGAGGGAAATTCAAAATTTACATAGATCACATCCACACATTTACGTGATAATATGGGACCTTTGCAATAGAGAAATTACCCTTTCTAAAAAATTTTGATGCACAAACTAATTTATTATTAATTATCAAACGCAAGGTTATAAAGATACTATTTATTTATTTATTTATAAAAAAAATTTAATTTGATTGCGTTAGTTCGAAACTAAATCGAAGTAATAAACCCAATTGTAATGTTTAACAAATACACAAACTTAATTTTTGTCGGCATTATAATAAATAAGGCTTGCATAATTTTAAATTAAGAAATCTGCCAAAAAAAGAAAAAATATTTTTTTTTCAATAATTTATTTTCTTAATTATACATTTAATGATTTCAGATGACCCTATTTTTGTCTTCTTTTTAAAAGATTTTTCCGATTGACTACAAATTAATTTAATTATTGACAACAAATTATTGTTATTATTTAAAGTTAAATTGTACATTGGGTATCAATTAAAATATCTATTATATTTCACCATTTAGAACTTACTCTCATTTCTCGTATTACTAATCTAACACTATTTGTGTTAATCTCCGCATTTTATATCGAATATAAAAGAAAAAAATTTTTGACAAAACAGTTCTGTTAGTAGCTCACATTCCTAAACAAAACCTCTTTTTACCTACGAAAGTGCAAGCAAACTGTTGACTTTATCGAAGTAAAAAAAGTTCATATGCAAGTCAACAGATACGAAAGTGATGAATTTGATTAAAATACTAATTATATATTAGCTGTTCGATATTACCTATGATAGTGCTCCGTAAGGGTCGGGTCAGGTCGGGTCGGGTTTAAGGCATATTCGAACTCGAACCCGTTAATAATTAATTACTGAACCCGAATTTCGACTCGATTCGATCGTTGTTCGACTCGTTTAACCCGGATTCGACTCGAATTTTCAAGGATAATATTAACGTTAACGCCGAAAATAAAATTATGACATAAAGTTTATTTTATTTTAAAATCTATTATTATTTTTTTTTTTTTTGTGGACATTAATCCTAATTCCTTTTTTTTTCACCAGAATTTCAAGCTCATACAGGCAAATTGTATTAGCTTTAAGATCACATCTTTTGGTTGATATCAGATCGGTTTCGCCAGAAAAAACTCGTTCTACTGGAACACTTGTTGCTTTATAAAAAAATGTATTAGTTAATGTTCAATAATTTTTTTTTATTTACTTGTAATTGTTCACTCCGCAATGCTTTTCGTTTTCTAGAAAAAGTTGTACTGTAACGTCGATAGGGTTACTTATTATTTATTTGTTACAAATTAAAGTCACGCAATGTAAAACACAAAAAAAGTCTAGCGCGCGCCTAATCATCCGGGTCACCCAGTCGACCCGGGTCAAGCAAAAATGTGACCCTGACCTGGGGTTTTTTTTGAATTAGGACTCGGTGTCATAATGATAGTCCCGACTCGAGAAAAAATTCGAGTCGGGTCAAACGACTCGGATCGACTCGTTCGTTTCGGAGCACTAACCTATGAATTAGTTTCTTTTCATAAAGATCACATCGGGCGAATATCTTCAAATATTCGGTCATGCTGATGAACGTAAAAGGATTGTTATAATTATGGCTATTAATAACGCTCAGGTCATTAAAAATTTCTTTTTCTGAAAATAAATAATTTTTACCAATGATATTTGTAATGTATGTATAATATATTTGAGATTGATGCTTCTTCTTTTGTCAAACAATGTACAAGATATGAAGCTTATTGTTAGAGTTTCTCTTTTTTTTTTGTCAATATATTACATTTCCTAAAGAGAATTTTGTTACATATTTTTATGAAAAAATTTTTAATGATATCGAATTTTTCGATAGTTACACGCATATTGGTATTACGTTATCTTTTCATTTTTTTTTTAGAAAAAAAAAAATAAAAATATTAAACGATTATTGAATGAAAATTATTAACTATTTGCCTCATTCATAAAGTTTTATAAGAAACAATGTTTCAAATTTTTTTTGGTGATTCAAAGAAAATAAAAAAATTCAATCGGAATTTACCAGGTTAGCCAAAATAGAACTCCGAAAAATTTAAGCACACGTTTTGTGCGACATTTAGCAAAATTTATTTTGATTTAATATGCATAGACTCATTGTAAATTGTAAATAATACAACATATTTCTATCAGAGAAAATGTTTTATTTAGAGTTTTGACAGTAAAAAAAGTTTTTGATAATAGAATATTTAAAATATTTCATAAATAATGCCAAATTTCCATTATTCATAAATAAAACGATTAGATTGCAAGATGAGGGATGAAACCTCTTAATAACAGTCGAAACTTAGACGAAACTATATTAAAAGCATAGCAAAGGGATACGAAGAAATTATTTTGAGGAGGTTTCGGCAGGCATCTATAATTGCAAGTAAATCGATAATATATGATCCAAAACTCTAATGTATTGCTAAAAGCTGAGTTCATTACACATGAATTTAAATCGTAAGAATTAGCTTGTAAGCTGCTAGTTGAATTTTCATCAGTAACTTAGGATAAGATTATAAAAGGTTTTGAAGTTAAAAGTAGATTTCTAAGTCGGAGATTCCCATTCGAATTTTGTGTATAGATTACGTCTTCAAAGCTTGAATATAATTGACGTTTGTATAGAAATTATCATGTGATTTACGACAGGTATATGCTTATTTGAACGTTGTTTGCTTATACACAGATTTAGCATCCTCAGCCAGCTTATTGTAAATTCTTTGATATCTTGTGATTCTTTCTCCCAAGATTTTTAGCAATTTTAGAAAGTTGGTAAATTAATGTTGTTATTACGAAATTCTTCAGTTAAGTGACAAAACCGTTTGGAAACATTCTTGCTCTAATTTTTTATGGTGTGTTTGATTTAATGGCATTTTTGATGAGTTCATTTGTGTTAAAGTGGGTTTGATATTAATGGAAAGATTATTAGAGCTGTTGTCTTCAATACTTGTTTCTTTATTCAAGTTGCAAAGTTTGCTGTTTTTTTTTTTTTTTTTTGCTTTTTCACTTTTTAGCAACACTACTGAACTGTAATTTTATTATTTTATTTTAAAAAAAGAATATGATGAAAAAACAAAGATATAAATATTCTTTATGATATGTCACACTAATTATTCCGTACATATAGCGAACACGTGAACAATACCATCGCATATATTTGATCGAACCTCAATTTTACCAAAACACACATTGGTGGCTTGATTATTTTTTTTTTTTCAGTATTGCATACATTTAATGAAATTTGTTGAAATCACGACTAATTCTTAGTTTCTTTATTGTTTTACGCGAAATCAAAAGAAATAAAATGCTGATTTACTGAATTTAGAAACTTTATTAAATTATAAATTGTAAAGAAAAAATGCGGAGAACCTTACATGTATTACGTAAATATAAGACAAGGCTCATTTTTTTTCAAAAACACACCCTTGCTTTTTTTCTAACTTATCATTCCTTTTTTGGAAAATTTCCGTGCCTATCCCATCATTTCATAATGAATTTTTTTATAAATTGTGTTACGATATATTAGATAACAAAAATTACTATTGAAGATTTTTTTTATATTAAGCTATTTTATAGTATAATTTTATTAACGAAACGAGGATCTGTTGTTTCCGTTTTTGTTTGGTTAGGCTATTTATGAGAAAATAATTTTGTTGTAAAGCCTTATTGGTTACAATTATAAATATAGGAGGGCGGCCTAAAAAAAAAAATTGTTATTATACCAAAATCGAATTTATTGATTTCTTCGATAATGGCCAATATTAATAAGGGTAAGTTTAAAATCAACATATTAAATAATATAAAAAATAGATAAAAAGGAAACTTGGTTTTAGTGAATGTTCGTATTATCACGATTAATTGTTTTAACGCAAACTGAAAGATTTTGATTGTGGTATATATGTGTTCCATAAAGGCGAGTCAGGTGGGTTTCGAGCTCGAACCCGTTAATGATTACAGAACATGAATTCGACTCGACCCGATCATTGTTCGACTTGGATTCGACTCGAATCTTCAAGGGTAATATTAAAGCCGAAAATACAACAATTAAAAAATAATGCGTTTTATTTAAATACTAATAATAAAAAAGTGTCATATTAAATTTGAAAAAAATTTTAGTAATTTATTTTTAAAATTTATTTATTGTTATTTAATCCTAACTATATGTATTTTTTATATATCTTTTTCCACCACGATTTTCACATACAGGCGCGAATTGTGTTAGCTTTAGACCATATCTTTGGTTGATATTAGATTGGTTCCGCCAGAAAAATTAGTTCTACTGGAACATTTGTTGCTTCATTATAAAAAATGTATTAATTAATAATCGATTTATTTAGATATTCTCTAGCCATAATGGCTAAATTAAATAAAACTTTCAAAGATATAAAGTAACCTGTCTTTTCCTTGACCAGTTTTCGTTCATTATTAGATTGTCTATAAACATGGAAATTTATTTTTTTTTAAAAAAAAAAAAATTCTCTGCAATTTTTAAATTCTTGACTAGATTAATCAATGGTAGGTAATAATAATAATAATAAATCTAGCTTTAATGTAAGTGAACTTGAGCCGAGTCGGCTTGAGCAAATTTATATAGTAGGCCTTGAATTAGCTGGCTCGTCATTAGAAATAAATTTTTTTCAAAGGAAAACCTACATTAATCTTTTTTTTGTATGACTTGCTATCATAAACAATTTAAGTTTATTGTAAATATTGAACGAAAATTTCAGGATAAACCTTATAATATAACATTGGCGCTTTAATAATGAAACAATTTTATAGAAAGAAATCCAAAATTTCCTTAGAGAAATTAGCTTATATGGATTACGGAAGTATTGTTGTATTCAGATCTTTCATTTCTGTTTTGATAAACAATTTTGTAAAAATGACGCTGAATTTATTGAATAATATACAAATTATTCTTTTGACAATGTCAATATATTAAACTAAACAATAAACTTAACTAATTAAAACTGCGAAGAAAATCGGAAATTAAAAAAAATAACGAAGTTACAAATACTAAATTTAAAATACTAAAACGGCGAAAGAGAAATATCGCGAAGGGTAAAGGAAGGTTATGTATGCAAAATATAATAAGGGCGAGCGTGGAATGGTGAGTGTTTAAGGATTTCCGGCTTGTATATATAAAAAAAAATAATTATTAGGCCAGAATGGCATTCTGACCTTGACAACCTGGAAAATGATCTTCAAAGGACTAACTGCAAATATCGAAAGCGATTTACATACGACATTATGGAGTTTTTCAGCGAAATTATATTCAATATAACAAACAGTATCATGTGTTGTATAATTTATTTCACTTATAAAATAATTAACAAAATATGGAGGTCTTCTAATTCTATATCAATGGCAAGAAAATTTCACCTCTTTTATTAGTAACAAATACATAATTATATTTAATATGACATTGAACGTAACCATTATAATAAATCGCTGAGCAAAATTTTTTTCAAGCTGAAATTTCAGAAATGAAATAATTTTGAAGGTTTATGATTTGAAAGGCAATATAAAATTTGACATGGATATTATGTCGTAAGTTTAATACATATAAATATATGAATGTAACTTAATTTTAAATTTAAAAAGTAAAATTAATTTTGTGTCGATTCAATTAAATCATATAAATTGTTGATCAATTGTTCCAACAAATTAATATGCCTTTGATAACTAGCGATTAAATTCCTTTCATTATAATTAGGATTAGCAATAGAACTCGTACCAGAAGAATTCGTAACGCAAACGGTAGAATTCTCAAGAGAAAGAGCTCCTGTATGGTTGACATAATATTCTGAATCACCCGTAGTAATCTGACTGTCGCTCATGTGTCTATCAAATACGAGTTGAATAGTTTTGTTTTTCATGTAAAGGGATTTTGCATCCTTAGCTAGTTTAATGTAAAAATCTTTTACATTTTCTGTTTCCTTATCCCAAGATTGCTTTGTAATTTTGGAAAATTGGCCCATAGGTGGTAACTTAATATTATTTTTATGATATTCTTTAATTAACGCCATTCTGTACGCGATAAAAGCGTTTGGAAGTGTTTTAACCTTACTAGAAGTGTTGGATTTAATAGCATTCTTAATAAGTTCGTCCGTTGTTAAAATAGGAGGGAATTTCAGCTTGAGTTCAGAAAGAACAATATTGGAACTGCTAATATTAGTTTCTATATTCAACACGGAATTGTTTTCTACGTTATTTGAACCAATAATAAAAGGTTTAATTCGTTTATTTTTTGTTTGCTTTAAATTTTTAGGCATTTTTTTTTTTTTGGTTTAATGAACAAAAGGAAATTTAATGTATGATTTGATTTATTGTTAGGTAGGTTTATTAATTTAAAAAAATCTCATTCTTTTGTTTTTAAAATCTGTATATATAAAAAAAAAAGAACGAATAAGATCTTCGAGATACTATTTAATATGGTATGGTTAGTTGTTAAAATTGCAAATGTAAGAAGATCTTTGAGATTTCACCATTTATTTCTTAATATGGTTAACCTTATGTGAACTTCAAAACGCAATTGATCTTTCCCATAATTTGAATAACAAGATCTTCGAAATACTATTTTGGTATGGTTAGAAGGGTTGTTCCTTTTGATGTTATTCCCCAATTCGAATCACTGCTTGATATGGTTAGAACAAATGCATCAAGTTTTTTTTTAACGCCAAATATTATCTATCAGAAATAAGGTTTGTCACAAATATAATCGTATAAGTTATCAATAATCGTCATCAGGACCACATCCCGGTGACAAATAATACGTAAAAAAAGTTTTCACAACATGTGAAAAAAACAAGTCCAAAAAATAAAAGTGATTATGCTTCGCTGCCTGGAGTGACGTAATTAATAGTGCAGATCTAACCCATATAGGTTAACCTGGCACAGATTTCAGACTCTGTGATATTTAATATTCAGTAAATTTTAAGTAATTTATTCCCCCATTTATGATAATATCCATCCGTTAGAAATTGTGTATATATAATAAGTGACGAACCAATGTCATATGATGATGAAACGTTAGAACTCTCTTAATACCTTCTCCAATAGTAAAAATTAAAGACGTAGCCTTTTTTTGATTTGGTGGTTCAAAATTTACCAGTTACAAAATACCAAGGAGTACAATGCGTTTATTGTGTTGTATAAAAGTAACAAATACTTTGGATCATGATAAGAAATTTTAATTAAACGTTCGGAATGCAATATATAATTTAAATAATGTTTACTTGGTCACCCTGTATAGGAAAAAAAAGGTGCCGCCGAATATATTATGCAAAAAAAATTCGACGAATTCGCAGCATTCTTTAATCAAATAAGCTTTCTCCCTTCCATATATAACAAAATCAACTTTTGTTTGTAATTTTATTTTGATGTGGGATTTACATTTTGCATCAACTGTCTCACGCGTCTGTATCAAGATTTTTTTTTGCGTTCTATATAATTTGACTATACAAGTTAATATGTAAATATATGGCAGGTTTGTTAGATTAAAAAAGCATTTTTAATTGAGATCGTAATGGCGTTGGTGGGAAGTTTTTAAGGAGATTTCTTCATTTATTAGTTTTAAATATTATTACTGTTTAGAGCCTACCTATTTACAGTATATCTAACATTTTTTTATAAAATAAACTAGGGAACGGGACCGTTGTTAAGTCCGGAACTATCTTAAAAAAAAAATTGCAAAAGCCAATCAGCATCGACTCAATAAATCAAATTGGCTAAAACATATATGGGAAGTTTGCTAGGAAAATCAGGCTCGGGGAATTTTTTTGATAAAAACAAAAACTAAAAATGCAAAATTTTGTTAAAAAATTCCCAGAGCCTGACTTTCCTAGCAAACTTCCCATATAGTCCTTCACTTCGTTCCGGACTAACAAGAAAGATATTGGAATTCGAAATTTTTGAAATATATTGATAAATAAATCACTAAAAAATTTATTTTTATTTTTATTTTTTTTTTAATTAAATAAGACTTTTTAAAAGTTAATGGAAATTTGGCAATTTAGCATTAAAGTTTTTAAACGGTGATTCAAAATTCACAGATCTTTTCCACGTGATAATGAGACCGTTGCAATATGCAAACGTTACTTCATGTGGCTGGTATAAAAAATGCGGCAAGATATTTAAGAAATCGGTAAATATGTCCCATCCAATATTCTCGATTGAAAGGTTACAATTGGAATAATCTACAATAGGAAGATACGAATTCTGTGTATAGATTATATCCTCAACGGGAACCTCAATGCCTTCGCCTTGGGAATAATTTGGATATATGTCATTCACGTTACTCCTCGATTTTACGTTCTATAAAACCGTAATTCTAGAATTTGATTACTTCTTACCACAGAAAGTGGCCGGAGGATGAACATTGCAAAACCGAACGGAATCGTTCAAATTTTATGTAATAATTTTTTTGCAAATTTCATAGTGAAACAATTTTATTGGCGTAAAATAAACTTCACTACTGTTCATTTGTTAAATAATTAAATACATTTACGCTTCTCGATAGATTAAATTTTTTAATATAACAACAACTTGTTCATAATGATTACACTTTTTCTTCAACAGATAGACCTTTTACGATAAATAATAAATTTTTAATTTGAATTTATATATTTTTAAATTTTAATTAACTTCTCATCAATTTTTACGTTTAAGTTTCATTTTTAAATACCTTTTTTTTTTTTTTTAAAAAAAAAAAAAAAAAAGGAAAGAGAAAGATCCATGAAACGAAAATGATCAAATTTTTTTTATAAATTTTGTATCTTCATTTTGAAAAGTCTTTACGTTTTTGAATCCATAAGAGATAATTTAATACTTTTATTACTAAACTTCTTAATTTCATGCACAGATATAAAATTCTCAAATAATTTTTGCTGTGCTGTTCATTCTCGGGGGGTTGTACAAAGAAACAAAGCTATGCATAAGTTTAATTGGTGATTTGGTGATAAATGAATATGTACTACCAAATTAATATCTGTACTACTATCTAAAAGTTAGGTGTTTTTATTGACAAAATTTGTGTGTCATAATACTTCACTTACAGCATTAAACTAATTTATCTTAGATTTTACATATATTAACTAGGGCCTAAATCCACTCCACCATTATTTTACAATAGTATAAACAACGGGAAAAATCATGGTTACGGCCCGAAGCAATCGAACCAAAAAGTAAAAAAAAAACAAAAATTAAAAAACATACATAACTATGTGGCATGAAGCGATCCAACCCAGGAGAAATCGCCTAAAATAAGGAAAAAAAGACGAGACAACAATTCGAAGTTAAAAGTAGTAATTCATTTGTTATCTTTTTATTCTCGATCTAACCAGATTTAGGTTAAGGAATATTTTTTAAAAAAATGTTTTTTGTTTATATAATCAAAAAAAAAAGATATAAATGAACCTTCATTCGTATATGTTCATGTTCTATGCTATAAGAATTTAGGAAATGTCTAAGTCTCATCTAGCAACTGAACTAATCCAATTATAAGTATAAGCAACAGAAACAAGCTTTTAATTTCCATGCTAATTTAAAGTCATTTGAAAATAATTTATTTTATACGGTTCGAAAAAGTTAAGGACAAGCATGGATTCATGCTATTAGAATCTCTATAGGAGAAGAATTCACACGCTAATAGTAGAATTTTCATTCGGATAATATACACTTGATGAATTTTGTATGCAGTATGAAAGAAGGGATATCAGTATACACTTGTCGCACTTGAAACTTGTCCGCTTGATTCTTTCATATCAAATACGATTTGAATTGTATTCCAGTTAGCTCAACATAAAGTCTTTTTACGTTTTGTGATTATTCATTCCAAAAGTTTTGAAAATTTAGATATTTACCTAACAGAAGGTAATTTGATTTTTATTAAGATATTCATTTATTGAAATTATTCTGACCGCGTTATAAGCGGAGTTTGGAAGTATTTTACCTTGCTGGATTTAAAAGCGATCAAATTTTTTGATTTTGATTGGCCCAGAACTTTGGCTCTTTTTGTGCAACACAACCCAATTTTTTAGTGTGAAAAGTTTCGAAATCTATAAATGGTAAATGAAATTTTAAAAATTTATTTCGCGAGTTCTTTTAAAAATAAATAAAAAGCACAAATATTCAATTTTCAATCTAACTGTAATGGTTAATTTCGGGTGATATAAAAGTCCATTTTTTTTTTTAGCCGACGAATCATTTAAAACGCTAATTTTATATCAAATTAAATAAAAATTGTAAACTTTTCATCAAATTTAATTAGATTTACGTAGTTATTTTCCCGGGTTATCAGAGAATACTTCACAGTTCACATGATTCGTGAAGTTTAGGTATAATTATTCGGTTCAGATAATTAAACTTTCGT